CATACATCACTTGTTATTGTCGTGCCGTGTAAGGCAAGACAAAAACAATTGAAAAAGAAAATCTATCATAAGTTCAAAGAATTTAAAGACTTTTCTAAACTTTCTTGAACCACAAATTAATTGAAAATAAAACAACAAAGAGAAGAAAAGTCATGCTGTGACAAATGAGCTACCAAACCTATTCATAAAAGATTTGTCATATCTTCATGCTGCACCATTGTTTTAAAATAAAATTCATGCTTGATCATGACTTTTAAGCATTACAAGAAGAAAGTCTATCAAAGCAATTAAAATCAGAGAAAAAAATAATAAAATAGTTAACAAAGTCAGGAGGGCCACAACTGTCATTGTAATAGGTTGATTTGAAACATTAAGCATTACTAGAAGAAACAAAAATGAGAACAAATAGAAAAGATAGCAAAATGAAAACCATGAAACTTTGTTTACCATGAAATTCAAAGAAAAGCAACAAAAAATCTATTTTAAATCATATTTAAATTAATCTTTGAGGGCCACAACTGCGGTTGTGATAGATTGAAAAATTAACCATAAATAAAAAGATAATAAAAATGAAATAGAATAGGAAAGATAGTAAAATGAAAACCATGAATGTCTACCATAATTAAATTTAAATTCATAGAAAAAGCAACCCGAAAATCTATATTAAACCTTCACCAACGACTACCATAATTGTGATCTGATTAGTTCAAATTAGTTAATCTTTTTATTTTTAGCATAAGCAATAGAATGCTTATCATTTTATTGTTTAATTTACATATTTAGCTATCCGTTTTCTCCACCTTGTTCTGTTTTCTAGTAATGATATCAAAAGAAATTTCTTTTCCTTTTTGATCATGCAAGGAGAAGAATTTAAAAATAGTTTGATCGTTTATAGATGATTTGTCATTTATAAAGAAATGACAAACCATTAGTTTGAACAAGTTACATTTTTGTGAACTTATTAGGTTTACAACTTCAACGTTTAGCTTTTATTAGTTCACAAAGAAATGATAAATCAAAGAAGAAGAAGAAAAAGAAAAGGAAATTTTAATTAACTTTAGCTTTTTTAGTTTGATTTCAATCGTTTTTAAATGTCATTCTTTTTTAAATAAAATAAATAAAGTTATGATCTATAATGCTTTCAAATAGATTTTATATTATTTTATTCTAATTTTATATATTACAATATCAATTAAGCAATATGCTTTGTAAAATGATCTTTAGGTTTTATTATATGGCATAGTGACATGATATATAAAATGATAACTTGACATTAACAATAAGCCCATGTATCCTAGTCTACCAATTTTTTTTTCTCTTGATCCTGTTTCTTTATTGCATATATTCTGTAAATGAATTTTAACTTGTATCATAAGACATGCCAACAAGCTATGTAAAATAATAATTTGGTTTATCCAAAAAAATAGATTAGACATGACATGCATATTTTTTCTTTAAACTTAAAATTAATGGTAGATCCAAATAATAAATTGATTTTTTCTCTCTTTTGACTTTGTTTCGTTGAATTTGATTAATTAAAATATTAACTAAACTTATGATCTATTTCTTTCTTTTAACTTGACATTATTCATAATGCCATCTATTATAACATATCATTTTTTAACAATTTTTATTTATATTAGTAAGAATATTAGCTAAATTATTTGTTTATAAAAACATTTCTTACACTATATAGCATGATATCAATGAATATTAAGTAATAGCTTAGTGTATGATAAAGAAATGAAAAAACATGATATATAGATATTGTAAGACATGACGTGATTTTCTTTTTTAGGTTTTGAAATTACTTTTAATTTAAATGCATGTTGTGATACAAATGCTACAAATAGGGATAATGATCATGAAAATCAGATAAAAAAATTAGATTATAATAATTTGAGTTAGAATCTTTGTTAAACTTGACAAGTGATGATATACAGATTTGGTAAAATCACATAAAATGTATTATCATTTTTTCTTTTTTTTTTTTAAATTATTTGTTTTTGCTTTTTGGATTTATTTTTTAAGTATTGCAATTAGAGTCACAATAATTTGCAAGATATTTTATATTATATTTATTTAAATTGACATCAATGGAAATGCATGTCATACTATATGAATTGATTGAGACTGTATAATTATTATTTAATTGCTTTTATTTTTCAATTGCTTTTGATGCATATTATTTAATGTCATAAGTTAGATTAACATTTCATATTTTTGCTTCATAAAATTAGAATCTAGTTAAGTGTTATAGAATGATATTTTTAATATTGTATGCAAAATATAATGACATTTGAATTTCATTGTTATTAGCGTATTATTTTTATTTGTTATTACTTTGTTCAATTGTCTTTCTTGTATCTTATTTCTCAAATGATATAATTAGAATTTATTTTTATTAATTTTTTTGAAAGATGTAATGTAAAGCTTTATTAAGAAATGGTGATATATAATATTAAATAGTAAGCTATTAAATGAAAATAAGTGAAAAAGTGGTTAGAAAAAGAATAAAATATAGATGTTAAGCTATCTTAAATATGCATAGTCATTAACTCTATTTATACAAATCTGAGTTAACTCATAGATTGTCTTGTTTATTATTTCTTATGATAATGTAGATAGAGTGCTTTTTATTTTATAATGAATAATCTTTTTGATTGTTGTTCTTACTATTTTTTTTTAATTTATCTTAATCTTTATTAAGTCTTGTATGTAGAAAGATATTATCATAATTTAAATTCAACAATAGGATTCACATGAAAATGTTATAATAAATTATTGATTTTTTTTTAATTTAAAAAAGAATAGGTGTTATTCCATTTCTCCTAACAGCACTTTATTTTTCAAAACATGAAACCAATTTTAACTACAATAGAAATATTGAAACAACTTTTAAACAGTAATTTAATAAAACCAATAACTTTAACAATAATTTATTCATTCATTTAGAAGTTCATATACAGTAAAACTCTAATAGCACTAATAGTCTAGTGCACCGTTAACAAGGAACATGAATGACATTTTCCTTTCTATTTTATGACTTACAACTCGTAATTTTACCACCTAATCTGCCAATTTGCAATTGGTAGCAAAAATAGAATCATTGATTTATGACTCTTTTATTACTTGTAGTGTTTATGAAGTTTCTTCTATTTCTTATTTCAAAAAATAAAAATAAAATTTCTTTTATTGCATTGATGTGTTAAAGCAGAATTTTCACCTGTTTGTGTATTTATTATTTGTTCATTATCAATAATGCTACTAACTCTTGATGATAATGAAGATTTTTAGTCATTAAAACATTGCTCAAGGGAATAATAAATTGAAGTTCAAGATAAAAGAATCGTCAATAAATGTGCTTTCATAAATTTATTTGTTAAACTTTCAATTAGAGTTGAGTTAGACTTTAGACAACCTAATCTAATATGAGTTAAAAACAATAGTAGTATAAATAATATTTGTAAAAGTGATATTAAGATAATTTTGTTATTTATTAGTATAAATGATATGTTTTTCATAAAATTTTTTGATTTAATTATTCTCTTATCATCTAAAAGAATTAATTTATATTTGATAATTTCTTTATTTAGAAATGCTCATTCAGTGCAATATTGAAATAAACACGATTTTGATAAAAATGAAGGGTTTTAATTCGAGTTCTTAATTCAAATTCTCAAAACTTAGGTTCAAATCCAAATAATACTTTTTGTATAATTTTGGGTGAAGCTATATCTAATACTCAGTCAATATGAGTATTTCTCTTAAAAAAGAAATTAGTAAAAGAGTAGATGAGAGTAGGATGAGGGTGGGCCTTGGCGCAATGGTTGGGTTGCTCCATTGCAACCTGGGTGACCAGGGTTGACATTGGCAGGAATCATATGCACAACTTTGGTTGTTCAATGCAATATTTTAAGAATTTAATTCAAATTGTGCTGAACTAATGAAAGATCATAAAACAGATATGTGTTTTTATTTATTTAGATCTTTCTAAGAACACTTAAAATTGAATTAGAGAATTCAAACCTGGTTTGAAAAATTATATATGTGATGTAACTTCCCTTATTCTAACCAGTTTGTTATCCTTCATAAACGAGGGCAATTGTTGGGAATCACATAATCAGCCATCACATCTAGAAGAGCATTGTAATAAAATAAGTGATTTTCATTTGGAAAGTATCAGAAGTCAATAAAATAAGGGATTGGAGTTGCAAATCTAAATCCCAGAAGAATTAGTTAGATTGGAAGGAGAAAACTTCAAACCGGTTTGTCATCCTTCATGAGTGATCAGGGCATCTGTTGAAAAGCACATCCGTCACATTTTCAAGGGCCTTATTTATTTCTTGCTTTTCCAACAAAACAAAAACAAATAATGAATGGAATTTATTTTCTTTTAAAATTATATACTCTTGTGCACAAAACTTTCCAGGACATTTCATTTTGATGTTCTTAATAAGGTTCAATTTGTTGATATAACATCTTGTTATTCATTCTCAGGGAAAGAAATCAGGATAAGGTTCCATTTGTTTCCGCAGCAATTTCATCTAGTATTACATATGCATGATAATGTAGATGAAAAGCTACAACTCTAAGTAGATTTCAAACAATATGTATAAATTGAACCTAAACCGGAAATTGCTACGCAAACAAAAGAAACCTAAACCGGAATTTTCATTCTCATGCTTTTGCGCTTAAAACTTTATAAAATATATCAAGATGCAAATTGAACCTAATTTTGTAGATTTATTATAATGAAAATTATGCATGTGACCAGTTGGCTGACAGAGTGGGACCTACCTGAGATGACACAATCTTCCAGCTTGGCGGTATGTGCCATTTAAAACCATGAAGTTCAACCTGAAAAGTTGGTCAAGTGATGGGTTTGGCCGGTTCAACCCGATGGTAAGCCTTGGAATCAAATTATTATTCATCAGGTACATACGTTTTAGAAAGTTTGCTTTCGGAATCATGTGTTTTCAGCATCATAGATTTGTCTTTTGTTTATAAAAAAAAAAAAAAAAGTGATTTGGGCAAATACCATTTCTTATTAACATGTTAACAAATTACGTCTAATGTAGTGACTTGCCTATGATTTCATATTGCTTCCCCTCTCTCTTCCTGTACGTGTACGTGTGAACGTGCGACTCAAATAGGCAAGATGAGGAGTTTATTAGAAATGGATGTGCCCAAAACAATAACTTGTATCTTTTTATGAAAAAAATCATTAACATGTATTTCCGGTATCTAATCCTGGTAAAATATTGACCAGGAGACATTCCCATGCAATTATCCTAAACGAGTAAACGATTAATCATTAGCATGTTAACATGAAACAGTTAAAATTGTTAAACTAGAGATTAAACTGGGCAATTTAATCCTAGAATCAAAGAAACGAAACTTCCGAGAAGACTACCGAGTACCGAGGCATAGCATATGTACCCATTTTTCAAAGAAGAGAGGAAGAGAAGGGTTTTTCTTTTCTGTGTTTCTCTGCGAGCTTTAAGAGTTGAAAGAGAAGGAAAGGAAAAAAGAGAGTGTCTTATCATCCCAAGAGTGGTATGGGAAATTTAACCAGTCGTATTCCTTCTTCAAGCTCCTTCAAATTTCTGATTTTCAATTTGAACCGATTCAGTGGAGGACACACCTCCGTGAACTTTCAGGGGAAATCGCCGGCCTCCGATCACCCAGTTGAAATCCCACCACACTCGACTCCGACTCCTGCTCTAATCATACCAAGCAACTCTTCTTCCTCTCCTTCGACTCTCTGGCGTACCCAGATGGTAATATCTCCCATTCTTGTAGCGGGGCTTCTCACCCTCCATCACAATCGAGTCGAGGGAAATCTCTTTACCTCCAACCCCGAGCTCTTCAACACCTTGTCGGCCTCTGCTTCTTTCGCTTTCATGGGCACTGTAGTTGGAGTCTCAGTTCGTCGCTTCCATACAAGGGTTAGCAACTTTGCCCTTGTTTGTGCACATACTTCTTTGGTTGTCTCCTTCTTTCTGTTGACTGGGGTTTTCCTGGCCCGAAATCCTAGGGCCATTTTACTGGGAAACTGGCCTTCTACTATGAAACAGGTAATTAATCTTGATAACTTCTCTATTATTTCCCTTTCATTTGCTGCTACTAAAACAACTTGGATCATCTGACATGTAATTGGGAGGACGGAAAGCAATCCCTGGTCATGATGTTACTTAGATAGTTTTTTCTCCATCTTTCAGACAGCGCCAAGAGAGTTGGCGTTTCTGGCCGTCGTGAATCGCCGGCTTAGACTTTATCTGGCGGATGAATGACAGGATTTTAAATGAATTTTCTTGAAGTGACCCATAATACCCTTATATGTTCTTTCTTTCTTTTGTGTTTAGGTGATGGCGAGAGAAGTAAAGATGATGTAGGGAGGGATTGAAGTTGGCAGTCCTTCGTTTGTTTCTTTCCGCTTCCTCAATATACATCATGGTTCGCCTTTTATTCCCTTATTTTCGCTTGAAAATACTCTTAAATGCTTGTTTTAAAATTTTATATGGATAAACAATTATTGCTTGCAATTGTTTAGATAGAGTAAATCGAGTTCTTACTCTTTTCTTCTCTCAACTTGTTGAATTTCGTTACTTTCTTTCCTTTCTGTTGTTGACCCAAGATATATGAATTAAACCTTTGCGAGTTGTTTAAATAATACTTCGTTTAGATGGACACGTAATCACGCCTGAATCCTAGGGTGCACGGAATGAGCAAAACTGAACTCGATCGGAGTTGAGTCTTTTCAATGTTGTTGGATAAAAAATCTGTCTTTTTCAAATATGAACTTGTAATTATTAAGAATTAAAGATTTTGATGGGAGTGCTGATGGGGTAAGGTTTGGTGACTAAGAATTGACACCTTCTAGATGCTTGCGACTCCTCCATTGTTTCTCATTGGTTGTATTCTCTCTCCTCTAGTGTCAATCATCAGGGCTCTGTACGTATCACCATGACATTGATAGATTTAATGCCCTGTAATCACTTATCAGTTTAATTATTTGTTGAATGAAATTGGAAAGTTGATATTTAATCGTTTTACGTTATCAGGCAAATTCAACTTATCCAATAAGTTGAAACCTGTAGACGTTTTTGTTAAAACCCACAAGCTGAGCAATCACCGATTCTGTAAGGCTGTGTTTCCTTCCTATCCCTACCTTTCCCTTCAACCCAAACACAGTCTCAGTTTATATTGCAAACAAAACAAAGCCTAATAAAATGATAACTGCGTTCAAGGGAATGCGAGCTGTACTCATGGAACTGAATCATTATACAAGAGAAGAGAGAAGCTGGTCTTGCTGCTCTCATTCCGTGAAATCTGGGTTGATAAGGTATGATCATTATCGATGAACGTAACTGGCCGGGATGGGCACTGGTGAGTCCCACTAACAAATCCGAGTAGCTTTGCTCCTTTCAGAAAAGAAAAAGGTAGAACCTGAAATTTCCACAGGAAGTAGTTTGTGTCATCATCCATTTTGACTGAAACAAGTTTGGCAAGGCCATTGTCGGGAAAGGGAACTGTGAAGGAGGTCCGAGAAGCTGAATAAGTGGTAGAGGATTACACGGTTCCTTTGTACAACGTGGTAAAAACGGCAATTGATGAATCAGAGTGATGACAAGAGATAGCTAACAAATCTCTGATACAAAGGATTTAACTAATACACAAATACTAGCTAAGAGAGTGAGCTCAGTTGCTGAAGGAGACTTGCACGTGTTGCATGGATTGCATGGAGTCCTCTCTTCGTGGGCCTTGACCTGGGCTGCACTACTGTGACCATGTCCAACACAGAGCTTGAACAAAGCGTCAAGCTGCCCATTTTTCTCTATAGGTATCTGCTACCATCAGAGACGGGAATGGTGATCTGCTCCTCACAGAAGGCGCCTCACACTGACCTGACATGCACATCTCACCATGCATTGGGAACATCTCCCATGAATAATAACATATTAAATATGGGAGATGTTATGGGATCGATGTATCTGTGAGGTCGGTGTGAGGCACCTTGTGTGAGGAGCAGATCCGGTCTCCAGAGGCAGATCAAGACCTTTGATCAGTTGGAATAGTCATTACCATAATATCAACTTAATCATAACATTTGACTAATTAAAACAAAAAATTGTGATTAAAATATTTTCATTCTGAACATTTTAAGAAAAATGGATACATCTCACAACACAAATGGATCATTTTTTCTTGTAATTTTTTCTGATACAGTCAAGCAGATTCTAAAAACTAAAAAGGAAGGAAAGAAAGCATTGTTCCTAACATAGAAATGGTTAGGACGATTTTGTATAAAATAACTAGGCATTGTAATTGTAGAACACTGAGAGAGATCTCTTCAAGTGTGTTTTGTCCTTCAAGAATGTTAGAGTGAATAGACATATAAGGAATGACTCTACTCTATTCCTCTCCCCGATTTTCTCTACAGTCAAGCAACCATTGCAAGACAGCAAGAGTCCAAGCCTCCAACCCTAAAGTTGAAATGAGAATAAATTGTTTAAATGAACCCTTTAGTTTTGAGGGGTAATGCTTGTAAGTTGTTATATTAAAGAAATATGAGGGTACAAGAGTCACTTCACTTCTCATTCTTTTAGTTTTAGATTTTAAGTAAGTCGTTGACCATGGGTGTCATTATTTGGCCCTTTATTCATTACAAAATAAAATAAAATGACCCTACTATTTATTTGAGTGGGGACAATTGTGAAAACTTTAGAAATTTTCATTATTATATAAGAAATTTTCAAATCTCAATGAGGGCGCAATTGGCCACACTAACTGATGTAACCGTTTCCGATCACGTATCATTTTTTTCGTGATGTATTGATTTTTTGGCTAAGTACCTCGTCATCTCATCTGCTCCCAAGTGGCCTGCGACTCAGAGGCTGAAGTGGAGCTCCCTAGTGGCGAGCTGTTTGGTGGCAAGCTACCTAGTGGCAAACTGCATGGTGCTGGACTACCTTGATGAGCTGCTTGGTGGTGAGCCACCTGGTGGCGAACTGCCTTGTGGTGAGCTACCTTGATGAGTTGCTTGGTGGTGAGCTACCTGGTGGCGAACTGCCTTGTGGTGAGCTACCTGGTGGCGAACTGCCTTGTGGTGAGCTACCTTGATGAGCTGCTTGGTGGTGAGCTACCTGGTGGCGAACTGCGTTGTGGTGAGCTACCTTGATGAGCTGCTTGGTGGTGAGCTACCTGGTGGCGAACTGTCGTGTGGTGAGCTACCTTGATGAGCTGCTTGGTGGTGAGCTACCTAGTGGCGAACTGCCTTGTGGTGAGTTACCTTGATGAGCTGCTTGGTGGTGAAACCCGACTACTCCCTACAGGAGATGATCTGGTTACCAGCAACGATGGGAACTGAACTGGCTATTCCCTACTGGCGATGATCTGCTCATCTTTGTAAGCGGCGAGAGTTGAGGGACCTGAGAAAATTGAGTCAGAGAACCCGGCGAGGTCACTCCGATGGCTAAGTTAGCACTTTGATAGTAGAGAGCTTGAAGATGATATTATAGAATGAGAGAGCTAGAGAGTAGGGGTTACCATCCTTTTCATCTTTTTTTTTCCTCTCCTAACCTCCCTTTGCCCCAAGGGGTGAGGTCTTTATATACTGGAGTCCTCGTGGGTTTGGTGGAGCAGTTCCTGGATTCCCGTTGTGATGGGACTTGCTTTCGTGTTAGGTGGGCAAAATGCCATCAACTGGTAAGGTTGTCCCTTCCTATCTGAACCAAGGAGTTGGTGAACTAATATAGCTGTTACAAAGTACGGTCCTGCGGGATACAGAGTACGGAGGTGTGCTCCTCGAGGTTGTCAGATTGGCGCCTGTGTCAGGCCGCCAAGTCGGTGCCTGGGCCAGGCCACCAGGTCGCGCCTGGGCCAGGCTGCCAGCTCGTGCCAGGGCCAGGTCGCGCCAGGGCCAGGCCGCTAGCTCGTGCCAGGGCCAGGTCGCGCCAGGGCCAGGCTACCAACTCGCGCTTGTGCCAGGCTACGCTTGGTGGGACACTAACTTAGCAAAGGCAAGTTGTTGCCAAAGTGGTCCTAGGTGTCACCTAGTTGTTCTGAGGTTCCAGGCTACATGAGGGCGAGCTGCCTGTAGCGGGCTGCCTAGTGGCGAGCTGCCTGTGGCAAAATCGAGTTGTCTAGTTGTAAGAAGGCTACGCTTGGTGGGACACCAACTTAGCAAAGGCAAGTTGTTGCCAAAGTGGTCCTAGGTGTCACCTAGTTGTTCTGAGGTTCCAGGCTACATGAGGGCGAGCTGCCTGTAGCGAGCTGCTTGTAGCGGGCTTCCTAGTGGCGAGTTGCCTGGTGGCAAGCTGCCTAGTGGCGAGCTGCCTAGTGGCAAGCTGCCTAGTGGCGAGCTGCCTGTGGCGAGCTACCTGTGGCGAACTGCCTGTGGCGAACTCGAGATGTCTAGTTGTAAAAAGTCTGCACTTATTTGGCATGAGATGCCATGTGTCACAATGTCATTGGAGGGCCAAATCCGCCCTCATCACTAACATATACATAGATTTGCCTATGGCTACCTTAATAGATAATAATTTATACTTTAAGTATGGAGGATTTTGGTACATTTCTGGTATTTTCCTTCAATTGAATATTCCTTTATCTTTTTCTTTCTTAATTTATTTATGCTTTTGATATAATATTACTAATGTAACGGTTTTTGGTCACGTATCAATTTTTTTTTGGCTAAGTACCTCGTCAACTCGTCTACTCCCTAGTGGCCTGTGACTCAGGGGCTGAAGTGGAGCTCCCCGGTGGCGAGGTGCCTGGTGGCGAGCTACCTAGTGGCAAACTGCCTGGTGCCGAGCTGCCTGGTGGTGAACTACCTTGATGAGCTACTTAGAGGTGAACTACCTTGATGAGTTGTCTGGTGGTGAGCTACCTTGATGGGCTGCCTGGTGGTGAGCTACCTTGATGAGCTGCCTGGTGGTGAGCTACTTTGATGGGCTGCCTAGTGGTGAGCTACCTTGAAGTGCCAGGCTACATGATGGCGAACTGCCTAGTGGCGAGCTGTTTGTAAGGTACTAGACTACATGATGGCGAGCTGCCTAGTGGCGAGCTGCCTGTGAAGTGTCGAGCTGTCTGTAAGGTGTCGGGCTGCCTGTGAGGTGCTGGCGAACTGCCTGTGGTGAGCTGCCTAGTGGTCAAGAGGCTGCACTTAGTTAGTTGTCATGAGGTGCCAGGTGTCACAATGTCATTAGAGGGCCAAATCTGCTGTCATCAATTACCATCAAGATAGATGGCGAAACAAATTCAAGTATCACATTATACTTCTTACTAGAGGAGGCCCATATGATGCAAAGGGAAATCCAAAAGTTTATTAACTTTTTAATTGTTAATGAATAAAAAATTGAATACTCAAGTGTTAATTTATTGGTAATTTAGTGACTAAAAATTTTTGTTCAATAAAATTAGAAATTAATGGATAGTTAAACATATGCGGTTGAAATGATGGAGAGAGACCCTAGAGAACTATAAAAGGCTATTTTCGCCCTTAAATTATGATGGAAAGGCCACTTTAAGGCATAAACAAATGATTTTAAGGACTCCATCAACATTCTGTTAGACAATGAATAAAATAA